AAAATAATAAATTTTTTTCGGTATTTGTTGTATTTCAGTACCGTTAGTGCGATTGTGAGATTCTACTCTTTGTTCACGTTCAAGTTTCATCTGATCTGGTGGTGTATCATCCACATATGCTTTATCATTGTTAATCATTTGCTCGCAGTATGTTAGCATAAGGTCGAAGTAATTTGATGTGTGCGTAAACAAATCTGGTTTTATTTCCAGGAGCTCCAAATCGCCCAAAATAACATTTTCAAATTCAACTGTTTCTTTAGCTGGATTTGTATCATCGAATCGCATAATTAAAGTACCATCAAATGCTAGAGCATAATATTGATTAAGAAGAGCGGCTTTGGCGTGTCCTATATGCAAAAATCCTGAAGCTTCTGGTGGAAAACGAACTATAACTTTTCCCATTTCTGCACCCGGCAAATCAACGAATTTTCCTTCTTGTTTACGTTCACTTGTTTTTGAAGGTGTTGTCTCGCGATCCTTTACTCCATTAGTACGATTGATGCGTTTGACAGATGAACGAGCTTCTTCCGGTAAAGTGGTTAAAACTTTTTGAATAAGTGGTTGTGCTGATATCAAATCGTACCAGCGCTGGACATGTTGTGGTATACCTTTAGCACTTAAGAATTCGTAACGTGAGTGCATTTCATTAAATAACGCAAAATCTGCTATTGTTAGTTTGTTTGAAACTAAAAATGTTACCGGAGCTATGGATTTATCTAGAAAAGACATTGCCCACGAAATGTCTTCCTCGCAGGTAAGCGAAAATGATAGCCAGTGATCTATTTGTGTACGCTCGATTGCAGTTTCTCCATATAATTTATAGTCAGGAGCTGCACGAGCAAGTGCACGGAGTACGTCATTATTTGAATGACATACTAAACGGCGATTTCCCGGCAACTCTAATGAAGTTTCGTTCCCCCAAACGATTTCGACAGGTACGGCATCATTGATTAGATGAGCAGTAGCAAGACCACCTGTTGTAATTAATAAATATGAATATTTAGAATTTCACAATTAATGATGCAATTCTATAATAACATGATCATACGCATGTTGCATTGCTGCGTTTGATGCAAAAAAAAAGCATTTAACCTAAAAAATAAAAATGCGTTGCTAGTGTCTTCAACTTATTTACTTACTAATAGGTGGATTATTAACATTTGCAGTTAATTTAATAGACATATTTGCCACGCTTTTATTTATTTGAGGTATACAATCACAATTAATATTGTCGAGATACAGTTTTTAGCAACGTCTTTTATACACCGTGTGCACAATATTGAACAGACTAATAACATGAGAACAGTTTTGACATTTGCAATTGTGAACAGATGGAACAAAACTATTCTTCACGAAACGAATACAATTGATACCAGTAGCAAAATTAAGAGCGTATATAAATATTATAAGCTTGGTGAAATAATGTAACCTGCTATCAGCTTGAGCATGATATAGACAATGCTATGCAAACGAAATATGCGCTTTGCTATACACATTGAAACAAGCTGTAATTTGTTAAAATCTATTCAAAACAAACATTAAAAATTTGAAAATGCCGAAGTGAGTAAATTTTTAATAAATTTCTTTAATAATAGTTTGGTACATATTAATAACTAAAATATGATAAATTTTTAAAAGTATTTATTAAATTTATCAAATACGCGAAACCAAATACAACAAGAGAAACGTCAAAATTAATCTCCAATGTATAATGTAAACGGTGTAGATTGAAAATGCAGATTAACTTTACCTCGTTCAAAAGTGTTCAACATATTTTAAAAGTGCTGCCAATTTCGTTCAACCAGAGTTAATAGATCTTTTCGCTGGCTCGCAAATATGGTGCAATGCTGGCCTATATTCGTTACGGGAGACATTGGCCATCTGTCAAGTATTATGTTTTGGCAAATAGTAAAATACAAGCAAATTACATTTTGTATAAAAATAAATAATTGATATAAACTGAAAATTAAAATGAATACAGAATTTTCAAATTTATGAGATTTTTAAATTTTTGTTTACATATGATTTTTGGCATGTCATTGCAATATTTGTTGGAATTTACAATGAAGGTTCACAATAGTTCACTTATTGCGTTGGTAACGTTTTTTTTTACTGGCCGATGTGTTCGACCAGTATACCAAGGTAGTGCCAGTATAGGCCAGCAGCTTGCTGTTTGCCGTACTTGTGAGCTAGCAAAAAGGCCTAATGTTATTTTTTTCTTGCTCTGAATGAAATAATTACGGCTAATATATGCACTCATGCCCTTTTATTTACCAATTAAATATTTTAGCAAGATTTTGACGTGGTAAATTAAAAATGTGAAGCATTCTAATTGTTATCTCCTGATGTTAGCTTTCAGGAACGCAAAATTGGTGAAAACTAATAAAAACTTGTTGCAGTTTTATATTATAAGTATCGAAATAAAAATTAATGCAAAATAATACTATTTTTTGCATATGAGAAAATATTTTTTAAAAATACTTTGTATTCTTGAGAATAGGTTTATTTAGAACTCAGGTGGCAGCATTGCTGTGGACAGCTGGACAATACTTTTTAATGCGGATTTGCTTACTATACGTGATATATGAGTCTTTTATATCTATAAAAATTAAGTCATTTCTTTTAAATTTTTTTACTCTTCTATATTAATAAACTGTTAATTTGAGAAAATGGTAAGTGTAGAATAATTGCATTTCATATCTAACTAAAACTATATGTATATATTTACATGTCAACACAACTGGTTACTGCATATGGGCATTTTTCCAAATATATATGTATACACAATTTTCCAATTCTAGATGCTCTTCATGTTATTGTTTAGCCGACAAGGCAAATTAAGATTGCAGAAATGGTATGGTGCATATGCTGATAAAACGAAGAAAAAAATAACACGTGAATTGGTTACTACGATACTGGCCCGAAAGCCTAAAATGTGCTCATTTTTGGAGTGGAAAGATTGCAAAATTGTTTATAAACGGTAAATTCAATAAAATAGAAAATAGTTAAAATCACTTATTCAAATATTTAAATTTCAATAGTTATGCTAGTTTATATTTCTGTTGTGCGATTGAACAAAATGACAACGAATTATTAACGTTAGAAATTATACATCGTTACGTGGAATTGTTGGATAAATATTTTGGAAGCGTGAGTTGTATATTATATGTTAATGTATATTAATTTTTTTTAATGTAATGATTTACACTATTACTATTTTATCAACAATTGTTCTGAACTTTAATGTGGAATGTCTTAAAATAATTTATTTTCATAATTTAGGTTTGCGAATTGGACATTATTTTCAATTTTGAAAAAGCTTATTTTATATTAGATGAATTGTTAATCGGAGGTGAAATACAAGAAACTTCGAAGAAAAATGTTTTAAAAGCAATCGCTTCACAGGATTTATTACAAGAGGTCAGTACAGCTGAACAGTATGATTTGTAAAATACGTGTGTTTCCAAATGTAATGAAAACGCGTAAATATATTTGGTGTTTATTATTTTAATCACAGTTTAGTTTCGAAAAAGTAACCAAATAACAGAAAAATTCATATATATATATATGTATAGATATATATATATATATGTTTTATATATTATACATATGGATGTGTATTGTTTTTATTTATTTATGATTGATTGTAACGCGTATGCTGCATATTTTGTTAAATTGTTTTAAATATTAACTTTTATTTAATTTTATTTATTTTTTAATTATGCATACAAACGAATTAATTTCTACTACCACAAAACGACACAATTCAACTACTTTTATTTAACGCTACATACTACATACTACGACTACAACTACCAATACTAAAATTTGTCTAATGTTAACAGAAGGAAGAGTACTTTTATACTCTACAATAATTTGAACGTTTTATTTTTGTTTTATAATTGGTTAAGTGTAATTTTTTTATATGTAAAAATGCATGTATCCAGCGAAGCAGTGGTAACAATTTAGTTTATATTTAGGTTAATTCATGTTGCAATCAATCTTGCCACTAAAAATTTTACAGTATTCGACTTGCCATAAAAAACAAGCGCTGTTAAATTTATTTTGCTGTTATTGTATAATTTTTTAAATACGTAAACTCAAAGAATCTGTTAGCATTTGTAAGAACGCTTCTTGTTCACTTTGTATGTCTTATGTATAACCAGCGTCCGTCCTATGTAATTGTAATGTGTTTTCTTTTAACATTTTGTTGCTACTGCATTATTCCTATATGGTTAATTAGTTATTTATTATACTGTGCAATATAATTTTTTAGGGTATTTTTAAGTTTTGCATGATAATTTTTTGGAAACATTTAATTTGTATTATTTGCATGTAAAGCTAGTCTTATTGTATAGTACATATTTTTATTTTGATTCTAATCCTATATGTTTTATAATAATTATAACATTGTATAACCCTTTTCTTATATTAATGCTTACCCCACCCGTTTTGCAACGTTAACGCATCTACAAAAGGATTTTAATGAGTATCTAAATTAATTAGAATTTATTACTTAAATGATTGTTTATATTATATTTGTATTAATAGGCGTTCTTAGGTATTTATTTAAAACAGATACATTAACTAAAACAAAAATTATATATAAAATTATTAATTACTGTATATTTAAATATTTTTTTATAAATTAAATGACGTTTGTGTACATAATATAATATATATTGCTCAATTATGCAATAGCAGTAAGAGACTATGGTATTCATTTAATTTATACATACTTTATAAATAACTGAATGCAATAAAATTGTTTTATAAAATAATAGTAACTTTTTATATTTAGTTTAATAAGAGGTTAACTCTTTCTACTTTGAAATAAGAGTACATCCTATGGTCGATTTCATTAAGAAAGGTCACTGAGAGCAACAACAAATTGTATACTAAAAATATAGCTAAAACCAATGCTATTATGTATTTTGTTGTTTATTTCTGTTAATCCCTTTCTAAAGAAATCCACTATACTAACAGATGGATATTGTAGTTATGCTTATATGAGGTGTATTACGCTTCAGGTCGACTTATGCAGTTTTACTTAAATTAATACTAAATAGGTGAAGTTATACAAAATTTAATAAAACAGTTGAAATGATCTATGGTCTACACTGTTATTGCTTCCTATATTTCAATAATGATATTATTATTTAATAACATATATATTTGAAAAATTTCTCACTGACAAAAGATAAGAAAACAAAATAAATTCAACCTAACATATAAGTCACCATTTGTTTGTTTTGTTTGTATGTGAATTAGTACAATTTATTTATAACATATCTATATTATAGCTATATATATAATATGTTCATATTATTTGGCTTACAAAAATGTACAGCGCAGTCGTGAGCTTAGAAGCTGTATGTATGTAGCCTGATTCTTAAATCGATGTGACGCTTTAAAATAAAAGATATTTTATTTTGTTGTATATTTCAGAACATGTAAAATTCTTTGTAAAAATTAATTTATATCACATATTTCATTTAAACATGAACATTTAACTGAAGCATTTGTTTATTGTTTCATTTTGTTTCGTTGTGTATTTTTAAACTTTAACTGTCCAATGTTCTTCAATTGAGTTCTTCAAAGTTTTCTTTATGCACCCGCACAGCAGACATAACATTTATATTACTAACTTTCATATTTCTTACTAATATTAAAAAAAAAAAAGTAAAAAAATTTTTTTTTAAATTAAACAACTTTTTTAGCACAGCACTCACTTTGTTTTTTTGTACTCTAGGATGAAGCTGTTGAGGGCACTTTAAGAGATATTGGACTACTCTGAAAATTTCTTTTAATTGTGCTAAAAAGTATTCAGTAGAACACAAACTTCTATTCTCACACAAACACACAAATTGAACACTCGATGAAATGTGCGTTAAATATTAGTTAATATTTTTTTCAAAATTTTTATTTTTATTTAATTTTGATTTATTGGATATTCATTTGTTCATTTATATTTTATATTTCTTTAAATTAAGTTAACACAAACGTTTTCTATTCTTATATATATATATGTCAAATATTACTGCAATATTAATACCAATACATCTGCAATCTGCCACAATTTGTTACTAACAAAATTAAATTTACTATAATTAAAATTAATTCTTTCAAGTTAAAACTTATAAAAGTATTCAGTTGGAAAATGGAAATGGTATTAGGCACCGACTTATAATTCAGTTATAATTCCCAACCAATAACAATGGCAATTAAATGCATATATATTCTCTAAATTATAGACCAACAATAGTGCCCATTAAATTAAAGTTCTTAAGTATCATTATTTATTTAATAATGAATAAATTTTATTAAATTCTATTGTGTATTGTGTCCTGCTTTCTTCCTTAGAGCAATTGATTTTCAAAGAGTATGCTTAGGTATATCGCATAATTAAATAATTAAAATTATAGTATATTTCTGTAATTTAAGTGCATATATTCTCTTGTATACTTTTATATACTTATATACAAAGTTCTGGAACAAGTGATATAATTAAATCTTTAATTGTTTAAGTTTTAAACAATTTTTTAAATAATTGTTTGTAGATATATGCTCATTATTGTATTATTGTATAATTTCCTTCAACTTCCAAATTCAGATATATTTGTCTTGCCAATTATTATATAAAATGTCACTCATACGTCCTCAAGTCCAAGGCAATTATTCTTTATTGAATTTTATATATTATTTTCTATTTGCAGTACTTGTGGTACTGCATTATTTCTGTTTTTCTAGGGTCTTAACTTAACTTTAACAAATTTAAGTTAATATTAATTGATAATGATGCTTAAAAAATAATTTATATTAGAGAATTGTGACAAGCTTTTAATCATTACGAAAAATAATTATAAATCTGTGTTTTGTTGAAATATTTATTAGAAATTGAAATACATATTATTATTATTATAAATTTAAATCATCCATAAATGGTCCAAGCTACCAATTTTTCCAAACTCCTAAATATTATATCTTTCCTTAATATTAAATATTTATTATGTTTATGTGTTATATATCTGATAATAAAAACAAATTATATTTTGTTGTACATAATGTATTGATCAACGCATCGACTTATTGTTTCATTTAAATTAAGTTTTTCTGCTTTGTAACGGTAAATGGCTTACAAACTGCAACTATGTTTTTAGCAAGTTTTGGTTAAATGTGTAAATTTCTTCTTACCTCTTCCGTCTTCCATCTGCAGTCTTTCAAGATCTTTCTTCTCTATATTAATGATATATTATGTCAAGAAATTTTCATGCAAAATTTATGTTACCCTATAGGCCAATACTAAATACCTATTGATTCCTTTATAAATTCTTGTCAATGCTGTCAATTTCATACTTTAATATGAAAAGTGTATAAGTTTATTCGATAATTTATTTTTTATATATATTTTTATTATCATATGATTTTGTTAAATATTTTTTTATTCTTCCTAAACACTATATAGTTTACACAAGTAAAACTGAAACTTCTCAATCATTCCTCCTGCAAACAATACTTTCTATAGCACACAAATTATGTAAAGCAATACAATTTTTATATATTATATACCGAAATTTACGAGTTATGAATAATTTGTCATGTACGAGATTGCAATATAAATTAAGCTTTAAAATTATAAATAATATAATATATATAAATATATTTAATTCTACACTTCTAGTATTAATAATTGTTTTTTATGTAAAATTTTCAAAATAAAAAAAAGAAAAAAATAAATAAATAAAAATAATAAAGTGAATGTTACAATTGAAAAGCCAACAAAATTATACTTTTATTTCTTGCTTTACTTGGAAGTCTTTAAAGATAATTGTGGGTAAAAAACTGTCCTTTACGCATCCCCAAAATATTATTTTTTTATATACCATAAATGATATGTCTTTATTTTTTTTTTAGTTTTTGTTTTTCGTGAAGTGTCTTAATTGAAAGTGTTAAAGTGTTCTCTCCACTTTTCTACACTCTGCTTTTTCGGTGTTATTTTCAAGTATTTTGCAACCATTTCATTTGATCCAATAATATCGAAATGATTTAATGAATTAATGGTTTTGCTGTGATCTGTTCTTAGTTTACCAGATTTGCTCTTGTATAATTTGTTAAGAATAATCCAAAACTTTGTACTGTACTTAAACTTCTCTGCTCTCTATTTCTCTTTTAATACTCTATATTTCTCTTATTTGTTGTTTTTTATTTGGTCAACGTTTTTCACACACTGCTTATGCAAACTATACTTAATAAACTGCAACTTCTCGTTGTTACTGGTGTGGTGCACTGGAGCTTTTATGTGTCCTTTGTCTAAGGTATGTACTATTGGAGAATCTGACTTAATTAATCTGTAAATTAGTTGTTTGTAGTTTAATGTTTGTAATTTTATATAAGTTGTTTAATAAGAAATTCGTAATTAGTTTACGGTTGTGGTTTTTTTTTGAAGTAATTAATAAAAAATAAACAATTTAAAAATACTTAATTTACACTAATGTGGCTACATAGTACTTGATACTTTATGGATATCGTAATGCTTTAAACTATTAAAGAAAACAAGTAGATTTTTTTAATTTTTTCTTAATAGTTTTTTTTGAAACAATTTTTCAGTAACAATATTTGTAATAAATTTATTTACAGGATGAAACTCCACAAGGTTTCTTCGAGGACCATGGTCTTGGATAGATGAATACAAATCGAATATCACTGCCTAGTGATTAAAATAATACATAATAAAACATAATGATTTATTCATTGCTGTTGTCCTTATTATTAATATATATGTATACAAAATCAAATATTACCTATAAGAAGTAGTTTATCTTTTAAACGTTTATCAGTTTATTAGATTTAAAAATATCAGCATTTCTATAGATATGTATTTATATATGAACTTTGAAAATAAAAGACAATTGTTTAAAGTTAAAACGTTAAAAGATTGACAAATGCTAGAATTAAATGATTTTATTTCTCATCATACATTTATTTGAATTATAACACTTTTAAAGTACTTTTATATTATTCGAGAAATTTACATTTTCCATAAATATATATTATAGATATTTTCAAAGTCTTGTTTCATTTTTTTATAGTTTTTTTTTTTAAATTATTATATTCTTGTCTTTCATATTAATCATATTAATTTGTTTAAATACTTTTCGAAAAGTTTTTACTCCGGATAACTGAGTTGAGTGGGTCCTAAAAAGTATACATACCATATGATTGTTTTTAATGTGGTATATCAATATTATTCTGATGTTATAACGATTATAATAACCTTGTCATATTTCCAGACATGTCAAAATGTTGGAACAGTAAGAAATATAATACTCGGCTATAGTCTAATCTTAATTCTGATCTTTATTAAAAAATTCTAAACTAATTATATTAATATAGTATTTCATTTTAAACAATAGGAAATCATTAAAATTTTTCCAATGGCAAAAAGAGATGGTAGGGTTCATTATACTAGATAGTACGGTACAGAACAACTGCCTCGATGGCAATATTTCTGTTTCGCGGAAGCCTGCTTATCTATTATTTATTATTACATACAGTATGTTACTATGAAAAGAAAATAACTTCGAGTGAAAGCTAAATATGTTATGTTGGATTTAGGTAATAATACGATATCAAGTTTTTTTACATATATACATATATACGTTTACGTAAAAATGGTGACGGATGTTCAAATTCAAAACGCTATCAAAATAAGAAGATAAGAAATAAGTTGGTACGTGTAGCAGATTGTAGATTGCAGAAATTGACATAACTTACGTTATTCCATTGATTTAGACGAATCGGTAAATCACGATATGACTGAACCCATTTTGCATATGCAGGATGCATAACTAAATCAGATTCACCGGATTTAATATCCCATGCTACTTCTGGTGCAGTGTCAGCAATATGCGTTTTCTCCTTTTCTAAAGCTGCTTTTGAAGCAAACATCGGAAAATTACATTCTTTTACCCCCATTTTTGTTATTTCGCCATCAAACCAAGATCTTATATACTTCCAAATGATCAAATTTTGTAGAATGAAACGGCCGGAAACGTTATAGTATTCAAAAAGTTCACCTTCGGTTATAACCTAAAAAATTTATATAGAAATATACCTATAGAAAACGTTATAAGATTTAACTAGAAATAAAGTCTTACTTGTGTGTGCCACACAGGCAGATTGTCTTCTTTGGTTGCTTCAAGGCCTAAACGAGTTTGTTTCTTAACAGCGCCAGTTGATGTTTCCGTTTTCGAGACATTTTTCAATTCAGTTTTTTGGGTCTTAGTAGCTTTTTCAGTGGTTTTCTTTGCAGAACTGCTACTTCCACGTCCAGCTACGGGGAAATCTGTGCCAGTAATGCGGCTTCGATTTGTTCAATCGCTTTGCGGAAATTGGAACGCTTTAAATTTTTCTCAGTGGAAAATTTCTCTTTATTTTCTTTATATTTAAGATCTATTTAAATATTCTATTTTTATGTTTGCAGTTTCTCCTGTGCCGTAGAAGTATACGTTATACTTCTTATTGTTGTATTTCGTGATTTTTGCTGGCCATGCTGGGTATCCTTTAACTTTCGCGAACACCAAATCACCTATCTTGAATTGCTTCTTCTCTTTAACCATTTTCGATTTTGAAAATACAAACTTTTAATTAAAAATTGTTCTATATACGCGTACAATATGAAAAAATCTTCTGCTTTTATGTAGACAAACTTAGCTCAGATCTAGAAATGCCGCTGTTGCTTTCTTTTCCTGACATGAGTTGATTTACAACTACAATTGTATAGATAAAAAATTTGCAACAGAGTTGTATTTTTTAATTTTATTTTTCAAATGTATAATTACTTCTAGTTTTTTTTTTAAATCAAATTTTATTTGACTATGACCGTGTGCGCGTTCGAGTAAATTGAGGGAAATAGTATATTATGTTGGTATGGCAGCGAATGTTGGTATTTATCAGAATTTCGGGTAGGCTAAATTAAATATAAATTAGGTTAATCTAGATGTTATCATATAGAAAATTTTATAAGATGTTTAGGTCGTGTGCGAGTTAGGCTAAGTTGATGCTAAACCAAATGGGAGATTTTTTAGGATTTTTTGCACTGCACACATTTAGCCATTTATCAACACGTATCGACACATCACTACATTATCGGCACAACTTAGAATTTCCCTCATTTAGAACGCAACTTAGCCTAACTCGCACACGACCTTAATAAATAAATAAATAAATTTGACCGAAAATTGTAAATAAATAAATATTTACATAAGTATAGTGCAAAAAATCCCTAGGAAATTTCAATTTACTTTACCTCAATGTACTCGAACTCGCACCTATATAATTCATTTGGAGATATTTTGTCACATGAATCGTCAAATCTTGTTTTGCTCTAAATTACTATTAGCTTCATTTTATACAGAATGCAACTTTAGCAATACAAAATACAATTAATTTCATTCACAAATCAATTGTAGCCCGTTTGAAGCTGAATATTAGACCACATGACATAAATTCCGCTACAAATAACAAAGGTGGATTTTGTAGTCTTAGTTCAAGTCTTAAGATTGAATTATATCATGCGTAAGTAATCAACTTTCCTGACTAAGGTCGTGTGCGAGTTAGGCTAAGTTGCATTCTAAATGAGGGAAACTCTAACTTGTGCCGATAATGTAGTGAAATGTCGATACGTGTTGATAAATGGCTAAATGTGTGCAGTGCAAAAAATCCCAAAAAATTTTCCATTTGGTTTAGTATCAACTTAGCCTAACTCGCACACGTCCTAAAGCAATTATCGAGATCAAAGTAGTTATCTAGTTGTTTAATCACAGATTTCCCATACAAAAGATAATCTAATTTTGGTCGAGGTTAATAGAGATTAATTAATTGTTTTTAATAACGCAGATTAGAGTTGAAATAAGTGATATTTTCTGATTTACTAATTTCAGAGAACTAAGGTGGAGATTTCACATAACAAAAACTCTACGTTTAATAATAAAAAACAAATTTCATATTTTCAATTTTTATTTAAATAACTTAATTTGCAAATTAACAAAATTGTAAAAGTTTTTTCAAATATGTATAACATTAAAAGTTTAATTTATTTTTATTAAATTCAATCGAATTGAATCCCAATTTTTTACATGCTTTTTAATAGCTACGCCCAAACAGCGTGTAAAATTTAGGTTTATTTGTGCAGCTTGGATGAATGCATTTGTCAGCTACTGTTATGGCAGCTGGTTGATCGAATGGTATGCATAACGACTTAGCACCCATAGCTGGAGCACCAGGCTCAGCTTCTTGATCTCTGTCAAATTAAACAATTAAGAAAAAATAATTATAAATGTATACATGTACATGCGACTGTGCTGTACTGTACTGTACTGAATACTTACCTTGCACTATCGGCTTTGATTTTATCTTCGCATGACGTTTCACCACAGAATGGAGAAAGTAATATATTCTTCTGATCTAAAAACATGCAAAAGTCGGACCAGTTCTTTGTTATTTTTGTGTGCTGAACCAAATCTGATTGTGCTTTCGCCAACATGCTATCGTGAATTGTTTCAAGAAGTTGCTGAATTTTTGAGTCGACATCATCCAAAGCTAAAATCAATTTTTCACCTGAATCGCGGCGTACTGCTACAATTTGATTTGCTTTCATATCTTTAGGTCCGACTTCAATACGAATAGGAACACCTTTTAATTCCCAATGATTGAATTTCCAGCCTGGAGAGTAATTATCACGGTAATCTCCTTCGCAACGTATACCTTTCGCACTCAATTGTCTTTCGAGATTTTTACATGATTGCATTAATTGTTCCCGTTCATCTTCTTTCGTGTTAACAGTAATTCCACATGGTACAATGATTGCTTGAATGCACGCTATATGTGGCGGCAAAACCAATCCTTGATTATCAGAATGAACCATAATCATAACACCAATAGTACGCGTTGTTATACCCCATGAATTCTGCCATGCAAATTCTTTTTGCTGAGTTTCCGGATCTTCGAAAACGATTTCAAACATTTTTGAAAAGTTTTGTCCTAAATGATGGCTTGTTGCGCCCTGAATTGCACGACCTGAAGCAGATATAAATGCTTCAACTGTAGTTGTGTAATCACCACCTGCAAATTTCTCCTTTTCCGTTTTTCGTCCTTTAACGACTGGTATTGCCATGAGATTTGTGTAGACTTGTGCATACAATTCTAATATATCTAAAACTTCTTTTTCAGCTTCGGATTTGTTTGCAAAAGCGCTATGTCCCTCTTGCCAAAGAAATTCTCGTGTACGTAAAAATGGTTGCGGATGTTTAAATTCCCAACGCTATCAAAATAAGAAGATAAGAAATAAGTTGGTACATGGAGCAGATTGCATATTGCATATTGCAGATTGCAGAAATTGACTTATAACTTACGACTACGTTATTCCATTGATTTAGGCGAATCGGTAAATCACGATATGACTGAACCCATTTTGCATATGCAGGATACATAACTGTTTCAGACGTTGGACGTACTGCAATTGGCTCAGCTAAATCAGACTCACCGGATTTAGTAACCCAAGCTACTTCAGGTGCAAAGTCAGCAATATGCGTTTTCTCCTTTTCTAAAGCTGCTTTTGAAACAAACATCGGGAAATAACATTCTTTTACCCCCATTTTTGTTATTTCGCCATCAAACCAAGATCTTATATACTTCCAAATAGCAAATGACCAATGTCGTAGAATGTAACAGCCGGAAACGTCATAGTATTCAATAAGTTCACCTTTGGTTATAACCTAAAAAATTTAAATTGAGATATATAGAAAAAGTTATTAGATTTAACTAGAAATTAAGTCTTACTTGTGTGTACCACTCAGGCAGATTGTCTTCTTTGGTTGCTTCAAGGCCTAAACGAGTTTGTTTCTTAGCAGCGCCAGTTGGTATTTCCGTTTTCGAGGCATTTTTTAATTCAGTTTTTTGGGTCTTAGTAGCTTTTTCAGTGGTTTTCTTTGCAGAACAACTGAAAAAGCTACTTTCACTTTGTGTATTTGTTGCACTCTGTCCAGGTTTCCAGTCTTTGCCAGTTGATGACTTGTAGACTGCCTTGAGTTCAAGCAGCTTTTTGACTTCGACGTCGATTTCAGCTTTTGGTGCCTTTTTATTTTTAAGAATGCGTACAAAATCGCCTTGGTTAACTATTTTCTTATCCAAATCGGATTCGTTCTGTTTTTTTGACAATGGAGCAACCTTTTATTAAAAAAAATATATATTTAATTTTAATTTAAAAATAATAGTTGATGTATTTTATGTGTTTAATGAGTGATTTCCATAATTTTAATATTGTATACGTCAGCATTTAACACGTTAACGTGTTTGTCAACGTTTCTTTACAAAAACTATCGTCATACCTTCCGCGACCAGCCTCTAACCGTCTTCGCAAGCAGACCAAATTATGAGCTAAAAACTTCGCTAAGCAAACACACAACATACAACACACGTCGCAATGAAAGCCAAACAAAATCTGTGCTCTGTAGTGCTGCAGCGTGTAAGACGAACAAACACCAACAAATTAATAACAACAAATGCTGCTGCTTATGCTCGTGCAAAAGAGAGAGAAAGAAGAGAACCGTTTCCGATAAGAGAATGTAGTGGACTTTTTTATTAGACATCAAACTGGTTTTGTAAGAGCAAGTGCAGCACTAGGAAAGAAATATACTTAACCAATAATGATTTTTGAAATATCATTAAGCGCGGAAATTGTGTTGGTATTTCTAATGAAAATATGGTAAATCATCACTTAATATGAAAATTGCGGTTTGAGATACATCACATCCAACGGTAAACACAACCACACACATATATATCTGTAATTCATTTAGGTCCAGTATAACAACACCTATTCTTTTCACAGTTCCAGAGTTACTCGTCTACAACCACTAATTGCCGCTTCCCACACCCATTGGGCCTTCATGTCAGCTCTAGCGGTTGAAGAACGCACGGAATAACACAATAGAGAAATAACATTATTAAAAATAATGAAAAATAATTCAATAAAATAAATCTATGGCATTTTGTAGTTCCTATAGTTTTAGTACATAAAATGGACTTATTTTACCAAGTATATAAAAGTGGCCGCGGAGATCTTAACCCAAAGCTTTAATAACAAATAAATATTGCTTTGATTTTCAAAGTTCGGTGGTCAACGTTTGATGCATTGCTGCATAAAATTTTTATTCGTTATGTTAGCGTATATATGTTATTCAGAGTTGGATTACTCCATTTATTAACAGAAGCTACCCAACAAAACGCCGAAACTGAATTAGTAAAACGAAAGAATACTCTTTCTTTTGCCTCTCATTTTTTCTTATCATTTCTTAAGTAGACAATGTTGTGTTATACGGATTGTTTTTCTTTACTTACGATCAAGAGAAACATTAACTATGCCTTAGCTTTTACACTCACTACAGTAAATAACGGCTTCAACTACAGTAAATAACTAGTCGAACTTCAAGCTGGGTCACCACAATACGTTAGATGTATATAGTATGTCTATTGTTCATATCATAATAACAATTGCAAATTTACTTACGTTTTTATTTGTGTCTGTTGCAGTTGCAGCATTAATTTTCAAACCAGAAGATGGCATATCTTTCGTATGTCCATCAGGAATGGAGAATAGCACAATTGGTGATGTGACACCACTGTAAACACTTGGCGGGGCGTATGCATTATCGACTTTAAAGAAACCACGACGTTGCAATTGTATAATATCGCCTTTTTTACATTTCTTTAATTCTGGATCACCTAGCATTTCAACTTCTTCCTGTTTATTAGAGGTTTAAAAATTAACTATATAGACCCACTTAGTTCATATTAAAATATTCCGTTCACTTACCCGAGTCTTGTGCCCTATAAATTGTTTAAAGTCTTCATCTTTTCCCAGTACCGGTTTACTTATGATGTGATCGAAATATATACAGAAAGTTGGTGGGTACTCTCGTACATCATTTTCAACAGCTAACCAAGTAAGTTTTAGCGTTTTCTTGAAGTCCTTATTATCCAAATTTAACGAAGCATCAATGGAAGTGATTTTACCATTTGTATCTTTATTTATTTTATTTATCAAAAGATTTCCCCAGTTAATAAAAGTAGTGTTTTCTCCTTCCTTCAGCGCTTCTGCATCGACTTGGTCAATATAAATTTGTGGTGCGAGTGTTATTGATTTCTTGCCGAGACTTTCATTTTTGGGATGCACAGGTACTTCTATACGTTCAGTTTTTGCTCCAGCTACATTAACTAATACACGATTGTTATATTCCAAGGCAGTGTATCGCGGTGCAATCGGATCAATAACCTTTTTATTAAATGCCCATATTTTATCCCAATTCATAAACACTACAGACTTACTGGATCCCTGTGCTATAATAAATTCCTTAAGACCCTCAACTGTCATACCACGACGTATGATTCCTCTAACAGTAGGAAAACGAGGATCATCCCTAATTAAAAGTTAAAAAATTTACTTTCAGTACGTACATCAACATACTTTAAATTCTGTTAATATTACCATCCATCAACAAGTCCAGAATCAACGAACCAGGTTAATTTACGTTTCGACAGAACAGTGTTAGTCATATTTAAACGGCTGTACTCCCATATATATGGCTTACGAAGTTTTAATGCATCAATGAACCAGTAGAATTGTTCATCGCGATCGTGGTATTCCATTGTGCGTAAAGTATGTGTAACATTTTCAATTGCATCAACTATGGGACATGCAAAATCATATGTTGGATAAACCCTTAAAAGAAAATAGTAAATAAATAATGCATTAGTTTGTCTTGAAAAATAATTACTTATATTTTGTGCCAGTTCGTGGATGAGGTTCATTTTTACAACGATAAATAGTTGGATCACGCATACAACCATTTGCAGATTGCATATCGATTTTCGCTCGGACACAACATTTCTGCCCATATTCAGTACCCTTTATCATTTCCTGCCACATCGACATGTTTTTCTTGGCATCTAATAAAAGAAAAGGAAATTTAAAATAATAAATTTTTTTCGGTATTTGTTGTATTTCAGTACCGTTAGTGCGATTGTGAGATTCTACTCTTTGTTCACGTTCAAGTTTCATCTGATCTGGTGGTGTATCATCCACATATGCTTTATCATTGTTAATCATTTGCTCGCAGTATGTTAGCATAAGGTCGAAGTAATTTGATGTGTGCGTAAACAAATCTGGTTTTATTTCCAGGAGCTCCAAATCGCCCAAAATAACATTTTCAAATTCAACTGTTTCTTTAGCTGGATTTGTATCATCGAATCGCATAATTAAAGTACCATCAAATGCTAGAGCATAATATTGATTAAGAAGAGCGGCTTTGGCGTGTCCTATATGCAAAAATCCTGAAGCTTCTGGTGGAAAACGAACTATAACTTTTCCCATTTCTGCACCCGGCAAATCAACGAATTTTCCTTCTTGTTTACGTTCACTTGTTTTTGAAGGTGTTGTCTCGCGATCCTTTACTCCATTAGTACGATTGATGCGTTTGACAGATGAACGAGCTTCTTCCGGTAAAGTGGTTAAAACTTTTTGAATAAGTGGTTGTGCTGATATCAAATCGTACCAGCGCTGGACATGTTGTGGTATACCTTTAGCACTTAAGAATTCGTAACGTGAGTGCATTTCATTAAATAACGCAAAATCTGCTATTGTTAGTTTGTTTGAAACTAAAAATGTTACCGGAGCTATGGATTTATCTAGAAAAGACATTGCCCACGAAATGTCTTCCTCGCAGGTAAGCGAAAATGATAGCCAGTGATCTATTTGTGTACGCTCGATTGCAGTTTCTCCATATAATTTATAGTCAGGAGCTGCACGAGCAAGTGCACGGAGTACGTCATTATTTGAATGACATACTAAACGGCGATTTCCCGGCAACTCTAATGAAGTTTCGTTCCCCCAAACGATTTCGACAGGTACGGCATCATTGATTAGATGAGCAGTAGCAAGACCACCTGTTGTAATTAATAAATATGAATATTTAGAATTTCACAATTAATGATGCAATTCTATAATAACATGATCATACGCATGTTGCATTGCTGCGTTTGATGCAAAAAAAAAGCATTTAACCTAAAAAATAAAAATGCGTTGCTAGTGTCTTCAACTTATTTACTTACTAATAGGTGGATTATTAACATTTGCAGTTAATTTAATAGACATATTTGCCACGCTTTTATTTATTTGAGGTATACAATCACAATTAATATTGTCGAGATACAGTTTTTAGCAACGTCTTTTATACACCGTGTGCACAATATTGAACAGACTAATAACATGAGAACAGTTTTGACATTTGCAATTGTGAACAGATGGAACAAAACTATTCTTCACGAAACGAATACAATTGATACCAGTAGCAAAATTAAGAGCGTATATAAATATTATAAGCTTGGTGAAATAATGTAACCTGCTATCAGCTTGAGCATGATATAGACAATGCTATGCAAACGAAATATGCGCTTTGCTATACACATTGAAACAAGCTGTAATTTGTTAAAATCTATTCAAAACAAACATTAAAAATTTGAAAATGCCGAAGTGAGTAAATTTTTAATAAATTTCTTTAATAATAGTTTGGTACATATTAATAACTAAAATATGATAAATTTTTAAAAGTATTTATTAAATTTATCAAATACGCGAAACCAAATACAACAAGAGAAACGTCAAAATTAATCTCCAATGTATAATGTAAACGGTGTAGATTAAAAATGCAGATTAACTTTACCTCGTTCAAAAGTGTTCAACATATTTTAAAAGTGCTGCCAATTTCGTTCAACCAGAGTTAATAGATCTTTTCGCTGGCTCGCAAATATGGTGCAATGCTGGCCTATATTCGTTACGGGAGACATTGGCCATCTGTCAAGTATTATGTTTTGGCAAATAGTAAAATACAAGCAAATTACATTTTGTATAAAAATAAATAATTGATATAAACTGAAAATTAAAATGAATACAGAATTTTCAAATTTATGAGATTTTTAAATTTTTGTTTACATATGATTTTTGGCATGTCATTGCAATATTTGTTGGAATTTACAATGAAGGTTCACAATAGTTCACTTATTGCGTTGGTAACGTTTTTTTTTACTGGCCGATGTGTTCGACCAGTATACCAAGGTAGTGCCAGTATAGGCCAGCAGCTTGCTGTTTGCCGTACTTGTGAGCTAGCAAAAAGGCCTAATGTTATTTTTTTCTTGCTCTGAATGAAATAATTACGGCTAATATATGCACTCATGCCCTTTTATTTACCAATTAAATATTTTAGCAAGATTTTGACGTGGTAAATTAAAAATGTGAAGCATTCTAATTGTTATCTCCTGATGTTAGCTTTCAGGAACGCAAAATTGGTGAAAACTAATAAAAACTTGTTGCAGTTTTATATTATAAGTATCGAAATAAAAATTAATGCAAAATAATACTATTTTTTGCATATGAGAAAATATTTTTTAAAAATACTTTGTATTCTTGAGAATAGGTTTATTTAGAACTCAGGTGGCAGCATTGCTGTGGACAGCTGGACAATACTTTTTAATGCGGATTTGCTTACTATACGTGATATATGAGTCTTTTATATCTATAAAAATTAAGTCATTTCTTTTAAATTTTTTTACTCTTCTATATTAATAAACTGTTAATTTGAGAAAATGGTAAGTGTAGAATAATTGCATTTCATATCTAACTAAAACTATATGTATATATTTACATGTCAACACAACTGGTTACTGCATATGGGCATTTTTCCAAATATATATGTATACACAATTTTCCAATTCTAGATGCTCTTCATGTTATTGTTTAGCCGACAAGGCAAATTAAGATTGCAGAAATGGTATGGTGCATATGCTGATAAAACGAAGAAAAAAATAACACGTGAATTGGTTACTACGATACTGGCCCGAAAGCCTAAAATGTGCTCATTTTTGGAGTGGAAAGATTGCAAAATTGTTTATAAACGGTAAATTCAATAAAATAGAAAATAGTTAAAATCACTTATTCAAATATTTAAATTTCAATAGTTATGCTAGTTTATATTTCTGTTGTGCGATTGAACAAAATGACAACGAATTATTGTTTAGCCGACAAGGCAAATTAAGATTGCAGAAATGGTATGGTGCATATGCTGATAAAACGAAGAAAAAAATAACACGTGAATTGGTTACTACGATACTGGCCCGAAAGCCTAAAATGTGCTCATTTTTGGAGTGGAAAGATTGCAAAATTGTTTATAAACGGTAAATTCAATAAAATAGAAAATAGTTAAAATCACTTATTCAAATATTTAAATTTCAATAGTTATGCTAGTTTATATTTCTGTTGTGCGATTGAACAAAATGACAACGAATTATTAACGTTAGAAATTATACATCGTTACGTGGAATTGTTGGATAAATATTTTGGAAGCGTGAGTTGTATATTATATGTTAATGTATATTAATTTTTTTTAATGTAATGATTTACACTATTACTATTTTATCAACAATTGTTCTGAACTTTAATGTGGAATGTCTTAAAATAATTTATTTTCATAATTTAGGTTTGCGAATTGGACATTATTTTCAATTTTGAAAAAGCTTATTTTATATTAGATGAATTGTTAATCGGAGGTGAAATACAAGAAACTTCGAAGAAAAATGTTTTAAAAGCAATCGCTTCACAGGATTTATTACAAGAGGTCAGTACAGCTGAACAGTATGATTTGTAAAATACGTGTGTTTCCAAATGTAATGAAAACGCGTAAATATATTTGGTGTTTATTATTTTAATCACAGTTTAGTTTCGAAAAAGTAACCAAATAACAGAAAAATTCATATATATATATATGTATAGATATATATATATATATGTTTTATATATTATACATATGGATGTGTATTGTTTTTATTTATTTATGATTGATTGTAACGCGTATGCTGCATATTTTGTTAAATTGTTTTAAATATTAACTTTTATTTAATTTTATTTATTTTTTAATTATGCATACAAACGAATTAATTTCTACTACCACAAAACGACACAATTCAACTACTTTTATTTAACGCTACATACTACATACTACGACTACAACTACCAATACTAAAATTTGTCTAATGTTAACAGAAGGAAGAGTACTTTTATACTCTACAATAATTTGAACGTTTTATTTTTGTTTTATAATTGGTTAAGTGTAATTTTTTTATATGTAAAAATGCATGTATCCAGCGAAGCAGTGGTAACAATTTAGTTTATATTTAGGTTAATTCATGTTGCAATCAATCTTGCCACTAAAAATTTTACAGTATTCGACTTGCCATAAAAAACAAGCGCTGTTAAATTTATTTTGCTGTTATTGTATAATTTTTTAAATACGTAAACTCAAAGAATCTGTTAGCATTTGTAAGAACGCTTCTTGTTCACTTTGTATGTCTTATGTATAACCAGCGTCCGTCCTAAGTAATTGTAATGTGTTTTCTTTTAACATTTTGTTGCTACTGCATTATTCCTATATGGTTAATTAGTTATTTATTATACTGTGCAATATAATTTTTTAGGGTATTTTTAAGTTTTGCATGATAATTTTTTGGAAACATTTAATTTGTATTAGTGCTGTTCATATTCGAATTTACGAAGTATTCGAAGAAATTCGAATATTCGAATAGTAAACGAAGTCTTCGAAGTTGAAAAAAACTTCGAAGTTTTTGTGAATTTTTGTTCTCGAAGTCTTCGAAGTTTAAATGTAGTGAAAAACTTCGAAGACTTCGAAGACTTCGTATGCAAAAGGTAAAGTGAGAGCGCAAAATGCAAACAAACGTGCATCACACAAATTATTTGAGGGATGAAAGCATTTGCTTCGTTTGTACGGTTTTATGTTTTTTTTTGGTATTCTATGCAGAAAATTAAAAACATGTTTTTTTGTTTTATTTTATTACATAAAATTTATTTTATTATTAAATATGTATTATAATATATATTATTATTAAACATGTTATTATTAAATATTATTTATATTAAATAAAAAATTTACATTTTAAATAACTTATATTTATTATTTATATTTAAAAAATCATATTTGAGAAAATTTTTAATATAATATAAAATATATACGTAATAATATGAAAATATTGATATTGATGGATTTTATTAGTAATGGAAATTTTATAAAAGTTTTCATTTTCCTTTTAAAAAAAATCACAAATTAAAACCTTGAAAATTAGTTATGAAAAAATGAGTTTTGCTCATTAATGCATAATTATTTGACCTGTATGAGCTGTGATGATCACACAGGTAAGCACAAATTTATTTTTGCATAATAAAATTTTGAATGTTTTGTTGTAGTTACAGTTATTTTACTGTTTATGGAAAAATTTTAAATCCCTTATTCTAGGAAAAGAAATACATAATATTATAAGGAAGTATCTAAATAAAATGTAAATTAGTGTATAAGCAAAATTGTATAAAAGAAATTCCATCAAATTTTCATGTATTTTATATTATATTAAAAATTTTCATAAATATAATTTTTTAAATATAAATAATAAATATAAGTTATTTAAAATGTGAATTTTTTATTTAATATAAAAAATATTTAATAATAACATATTTAAAAATAATATATATTATAATACATATTTAATAATAAAATAAATTTTATGTAATAAAATAAAACAAAAAAACATGTTTTTAATTTTCTGCATAGAATAACAACAAAAACATAAAACCGTACAAACAAAGCAAACGCTTTCATCCCTCAAATAATTTGTGTGATGCACGTTTGTTTGCATTGTGCGCTCTCACTTCACCTTTTGCTTACGAAGTCTTCGAAGTCTTCGAAGTTTTTCACTACATTTAAACTTCGAAGACTTCGAGAACAAAAATTCACAAAAACTTCGAAGTTTTTTCCAACTTCGAAGACTTCGTTGAAATGCGAATATTCGAATATTCGAAGAACTTCGAATTTTTAAAAACTTCGAATA